ATATAAGCCACACAAAAGTTTCAGTAGCACTCTCTTCCCCCCTCTTAGAGAGTCAAGAGGCTTTAGCGTTGCCTGTAGCAGTATTAGAAGACAACGGCGGTTTTGAAGGTTTGCCCTCTTTAGCAGAAGCCCAGATGCAGCCAGCACCAGAACCGTTAGCAGTAATTCTTCCAGCCAACGAGGTCCAGCAAACTCGGCCATAACAAGTGAATTTAAGGTACATAGAAGATAATGAAATTTCCAAATTCCAACTAGGTTATGTCCAAATTTCTCGACTTTGGAGAATTTTTGGGGGTTTCTTTCAAGGGGATGGAAGAGGAAACTAAAGCCCTCTTGGTGGCCATTGAAAATAGAATTTTAGTTGAAAAGGGTAAGAATAATAGAAGGCAATCGAAGGAATTATTAAGGCTGGTGTGGGGTTTAAACGATAGCACAGGAAGTGAAGAAGTAATAACTCCTCAAGAAATTAATAATGGAAAATGTAAAAATAACATCGTGGAATGTCCAAGACCTAGGCTCAGGCAGAAGAAGAATAGTAATTGGGGGTTTTTAAAGGAAAAACAAAAAAAAAGGTCAGATTTTCTGTTACTACAGGAGGCAAAATTACAAAAGTTACCTTTCAGAGTAGTGAATAGTGTTGGGGGTTTCGATCCATATGATTGGCTTAAATTCCAGCTTTAAACACCGCAGGTGGAGTAGCACTTATCTGGAATACCAGTTCCTTCAAGTTGCTAGATAAACATGTGGGGGCTTTTTCAATTTCAGCTAAGTTTCTTTGGGAGGCAAATAATTTGCAGAGTGACAGGGGTGTATGGGCCAGTACATTCCAGGTTAAAGGATGATTTCTGGAAAGAGTTAGACTATGTCAGAGAAAGGTGGGGAGGACCTTGGGTGTTAGGGGATGATTTCAATGCCATTGTTACTCCATCAGACAAAAAAGGTTGTTCCAGAATTAACAGAAGTATGAAAAAATTTATGGGTTTCATCCAGAGATGGGACCTGATAAACTTGTCGCTTTCTAGAGCAAAATATACTTGGACCAATAATCAGGAAGAGCCATCCCTAGTCAGGCTAGACAGATTCCTGATTTCTCCTGAATGGGAAGAGATTTTCCCCAATTCCAGTCAGGAAGCCTTGCCAAAGGCAGTGTCTGATCACATCCCTTTCAGACTGGAGCATTGCTGGCTGGATCCAAAGGATTTGATGGCAAATGTAAAGAGGTGGTGGACTGAAATTTCTTTTGAAGATTCAGCAAGCCATGTATTTTTTAAAAAACTCAAATGGTCGAAAGGAAAAATTAAGTCGTGGCAAAAGGAAAAATCAAAGAGTAATGAGGAAAAAAGGGAAGAGTGTTTGAAAATCATAGCTGATATTGATGCGGAGGAGGAAAGCAGGTCTTTGGAAGAGGAGAAAAGAAGAAAAAAGGTTCACAACTAAGAAGTTGTTTGACTCCCTGATGTACCAAAATGAAGTCAGATGGAGACAAAGATCAAGAGCTATGTGGCTGAAAGCAGGTGATAACAACACTACCTTCTTCCACAGGGTAGCCAATGCAAGAAGAAGGATCAATTCCATAAATAGGCTGGAAATGGGAGGTCAATTAGTGGAACAAGAGAAAGACAAACCAGATTCTTTTGTTGGTTTTTACAAAGATCTCTTCAGCAAACCCTGCAAGAGAAGATCAAAATTGGATGGTTTGACGTTTGATTTTCTGTCAGATCAGCAGGCCTCAGATTTAGAAAAAGCCCTTTTCAGAAGAAGAGGTAAAGAAGGCTTTAGAAGAGATGGAAGGGGAAAAAGCTCCAGGCCCGAATGGGTTCACAATGTTATTCTTTAAGAAATTCTGGGAGCTTCTTAAAGCTGATGTATTAAAGGTTCTGGAGGAATTTCATGATTCTGCAGCCTTGGAAAGAAGCTTAAATGCAACTTTTATATCCCTAATCCCCAAGAAGAAAAGAGCTACTGAACTAAAGGATTTCAAACCAATCAGCTTGGTTGGAAGTGTGTACAAAATTTTGGCCAAAATTCTGGCCACTAGGCTAAGAAAGGTGATAGATTCCCTGATCTCCAAGTACCAAGGAGCTTTTGATCACAACAAGCATATTCATGATGTAGTTCTCATAGCCAATGAGCTAATTGATTCAAGGAAAAGAAGTGGGAAGAGTGGGTTGGTCTGTAAAATAGACTTTGGAGAAGGCTTACGACCATGTCAATTGGTCTTTCTGGATTATTTGTTGGAAAGAATGCAATTTGGCTCAAGATGAAGAAGCTGGATAAAAGTATGCACATCCACTCCAAGATTCTCTGTGCTTGTTAACGGTACAGCGAGAGGTAATTTTAACAGTTCGAGAGGATTAAGGCAAGGGGATCCTTTGTCTCTTCTCCTTTTTTAATAGTGATGGAAAGTCTAAGTAAACTGGTAGACAAGGCTGTGGAGAGGGAGCTGTTGGAGGGTTTTCAAGTGAAGCCAAATGGTACTGCTATTCCTATTCTGCAATACGCAGATGATACCCTCTTTTTTTGTAAGGCATCAGAGGAACAAGTTCTTAGTATGAAACATCTCCTTTTCTGGTTCGAGATTGTATCAGGCCTAAAGGTGAACCTAGCAAAAAGTGAAACGATAGCAGTGGGAGAGGTCTCTAACATTTAAAGTCTGGCTGATTTGTTGGGCTGAAGAGTTTGCCTTCTACCTACAAACTATTTGGGCTTGCCACTTGGTGCCAAATGCAGATCCAAAGCCATCCGGAACCCAATCTTAGAGAGGGTGGATCAAAAATTGGCCACTTGGGAAGTTGGTGGGAAGATGACTCTTATTATTAAGAATGTTTTAGCAAGCCTGCCAACTTATTTTATGGCTCTTTTTCCAATCCCCTCGGAGGTAGTAGAGATTTTAGAAAAAAAGATGAGAGATTTTCTTTGGGTGGGCTGGAAAGACTCACAAGTACCATCTTGTGAACTGGGGTCAGATCTGCAAACCCCAATCACAAGGAGACCTGGGGATAAGAAATTTAAAATCCTTTAACATAATTAGGTAGCTGGCTTTGGAGGTTTGCTGCTGAGCCAAATAACCTATGGAGGAAAGTAATAGCCAAGAAAGATGGGCTAGATAATAGTAGATGGGAAAGTGGTTCATCCCTATCAACATACAGGTGCAGTTTGTGGAAAGGAATCTGCAGAGCTTCAACCCTTTTCAGAAGTGGCATCAGATTTAAAATAGGAGATGGAAGAAGGATCAGATGCTGGCTGGACCCTTAGACTAGAGAGAGCTGTTTCCCATCTTGTTCAATTTGGCAGTTGATAAAGAGGTGCTGGTAGCTGACTCTTTTGTGCAGAGAGGTAATAGCATCTGTTGGACTCCTTTTAGAAGGGACTTAAATGACTGGAGAGATTCAACAGGTAGGAAATCTCCTAGCTCTTCTCCAAGCTCAGTAGAGTTCTCAGTAAAATCCTTCTACAGCTCAATAGTATGAGGAAATAAAGTCCCTTTTCCTACCCGGGCCATCTGGGGGACAGTGGCGCCCTCAAAAGTTAAATTTTTTGTATGGGTGGCAGCTCTAGAGAAATGCCTTTCCAAAGAGATGCTGGTGAGGAAAGGTTTGATCTGCAGTGACCTGAGGCGCAGCCTTTGTAGTGTGGAGACGGAATTGGTTAATCATCTGTTTTTACACTGCAAGTTTGTCTCAGAGATCTGGAGCTACTTCATAAAGATTCAGAAGTTAAGTTGGTGCATGCCTGCCTCAGTTAAAGCACGCTTGGAGGCATGGCATGTACCAGAGATGACAAATAAAGGAAAGGTTTGCTGGTCCTCCTCCTCCATTCCTTTGGCAATTCTCTGGGCTGTGGTTTGAAAGGAACAGTAGGATTTTTTCACAAAGTCTCCTCCGAAGCCAAGGTCATCAACATGGCCATAGAGTTTGTTAGAAGTTGGTTGTCTATACATACAGATTTTAAGGATGATACACCTGATTGTACTTTTTTGAGGATGGCCTTTTTTTGAGGTCCTCCTGGTTTGTTTTTTGTACAGACTCTCATTGTACAAAGGACCCTTTGATTAATACATTTATAGTTTACCTTTGCTCAAAATATATATAGTAAATTGTAAGATTTTGAAAACAAACTTCTTGCTCATTCTTTGGTGGACAGCAAGCTAACTACTTGCTACTCCATCCCTGTTCTTCATTCTTAATCACCCCCAAACCTCTCCTTCACCCCACAAAGCCCACCACCAGATCTGAAATTTGTAGGACCCCTACCCTATCCTACATCACTTAGCCTTGAGGATGAACACTTTGCTCAGTTGGATTAGAACTTAGAAGATCATGTAATGATGTTGCAGACTCTCTAACAAGATATGAGGTGGACCAGGGTATATCATATTGGGAGTCTACTCTCCCTAGGTAGATCTTTGGATATGNCAAGATATGAGGTGGACCAGGGTATATCATATTGGGAGTCTACTCTCCCTAGGTAGATCTTTGGATATGGATGCAACTTTGGCTGGGTTGGGATCAAAATTTGTTAAATTTTCAATGGCCCAAAATGCTAACCCAAGCCTGATGTATTGAAATTCTTCGAATCAGGAAATATGACTTGCAGCCCTACCTTTGGACACATATATGATATCGTGGCTCAGCTTTCATCCCTTGAAAGAGCCCGTTTGGGAGGGCTTCTGTGGTGATTGAACTGTGCTGAAAGAGCTGCTTTCGAGAAGCTACCTACAATAGCATCACTGGGAAGTCGATTTTTGGGCTCATATAAGCCTATCTTTTGGCTTTCTAGATTTTTACTGAACAGGGCTTCACGACTTTCCAGGTTTCTTGGCTCATACCATGCCAAAAGCCGCTGCATGAAAGCCCTCCAAAACGGGCACAAAGAGTCATGCTTGCTGCAGTGCATTATTATCTCATCTTTGATAAAATTTCTTGACTCTGTTACTTATCAAAATAAATTTATCCATAATATTGCATTAACTCCAATATAAACAGCAGTTGCATAAATACCTGTGATAAAACAACACACGATATATGTGATCCATATTCTGATATTGCAATTTCAAATTGCTTGTTGTCAAGGCGTCCCAGTAGAAGGGATATGCAAGTCAAAAAAAAAATGTTGGTCCCTATACCACTATTTTTATTCGCAGAATGCTCAGCAGTGTAGTCATCCATGTAGAACTGCACATATTTTTCAGATCAGAAACTGGAAATTAAGGAGCAAATGAACAACAACAATAACAACAGTAGAGCTTGAAATAGATAACAAGTAATGCAATAATACAAATGAATCATGATATTACAGTTAATCCAGATGCATTTAAAGAATTGCAATTATAGCTATCATTTGTATTATTTGCATTCTATCTACTCAATCTGAAAACACATTGTGACAGAGAACAAGGAATTAAGGTATTTACCTAATCTATAACTCAAATAGCAGATACCAAACATCTTACGAGCAGATATTCAGTACTATATCCAACCAAAGCAAAGAGGAGAAGTTTTTCTTTTTTTCTATTTTATTTTATTGGTAACAAGATAAAAATGCATTAAAGCAATAATGAAAAGTCACTAGTACAAAATTATAGTGATCACTGAAGAACATTCCCTACAAAGGACGGAAAGTTAAAGAAGACAGGAATTGGAAACGTCAAAGATATGGTTTTAACCAGTCTTAGACCCATTGATGTAGCTCAACAAAATACCTAAGTGGGAAAGGAAATTATGGAGTACAATTCCTGCAGCAATTTCTTGGTGCATTTAGGAGAGAAATCAGAGAGTATTCCAGAACCAAAAGTTGCTCAGTGGATGAACTTATCAAGAAAATTATGGGAACTATTCACTCCTGGGTAGTTGGATAAGTTGTGACTGGTTTTCGGACAACTTATGGATCTATGGCAAGAATTCTTATTCTTAGGTAATTTGTTTTTTTCTTTTTTATTATCAGATAAATTGTTATGAAGTTAAGATCAATTTCTCAAGCCTTAAGTTTAGTTTAAGGGCTTCATTTTCTTACAGTGTTATTAAACCATTCTAAGCAAACCTCGAAATATAAATGTTAAAAGAATTAGTCTTTCTGGGTGTATTGGGCAGCAGGATAGAGAAGTCTTTTTATCTTATTTTATGGACAGTCATGTCCACTATTTATCATAAACAGGGGCATATTTGTAATTCAGAAATCTTTTTTTATGAATATAAAGGTGGATCAACTACTTAGAGGGCATTAAGACAGTCTAATCCTTCTCTAAAACAGATCGGCAGTTTTTCTCTTCTCCTTCTTTCTTCCTTTTTTTCTGGTTTGAACTGCACTATAGCTCTGCTGTACCTTTTTTTTTATCAATAACTTTGAAATTTTTCATAAATTATAAAGTTTTAGGATACAACAAGAAGCTGTGAAAGAAATCGGCTTAGTAAGCTGACCCCGGACAGAATTACAAATGTGCCCAAAACATGTGTTCTTTGAACCCCTTGCTTTGCTAAGCTATCTGCCAAACTGTTGGCAGATCTCCTAACCCATCCCACCTGGATTGACATGTTCCTTGACATCCATTTAAATCTTCGGAAATCATTCTTCAACTGCCATGTCACCCCTTCCCCTTTCTGCAACCATTTTATCACCGCTTTTGAGCCTCCCCCGATGATCAGTCTGTTAATACCCAACTCTTTAACCTTCTCAACCCCATATGCTGCAGCTAGAAACTCTGCCCTTACCACATCACCCTCCTCCATAAGACCGGAGTACAGAGCACTAACAAGTCCATTTTCATCTCTAATGGCCCCCCCAATGCCTGAAGGGCCTGGGTTACCCACACAACTCCCATCAAAGTTCAGCTTCTTCCAACCATCTGTTGGAGGAGACCAAGCCTCAAAAAATTGTTGTCTCATAGATGATGAGGCTGAGGCAGCAATAAGTCCCCAAACCCTGAAAAAGTCTTCGATCTTAAAAGCTGAAAACAGCTTCAAGATTTTTACCCAATGTGCCACCCTCAATGTTATTGTTTCAACTAAAGGTTCCTTACATTTTTCTTTTCCTTCAAATATTCTATCATTTCTTTCCTCCGAAACGGTCCAAAGTATTGCTGCTCTAGTACACCTCCACATAATCCTACCCCTCCTTTTCATGCCATTGATACCATTAGGGCTGAATAAACCTTCCACCCTGTCAGGAGAGGACCACCTGCACCCAAAAAGGAAAGTAAACCAATTCCAAATAAATCTGACAAAAGGGCAAGATATTAGAAGGTGGAAAGCAGTCTCACCATGCAACTTACACAGGACACACCAGTTAGGGGACAAGCACCAATTTGGTCTTTTCCTTTGAAGTACATCAAAGGTATTAATACAACCATGAAATACTTCCCAACAAAAAGCACTGATTTTAGGGGGAGTAGGAGGACACCAAATTTCTTTGACTGGGAAAGGAAGATAAGATTGTGTGGCAGCCAATACCATATTTTCACATGGTACCAGAGCAGGTAAAAAGAGGGAGATCAGATTAGGGCTCATTCTTACCATCAATCTGATTAGGGTTTCTCCTAAAAGGCTGTCACTGGTTGCTACAGGGGATCAAACTAGGTTCAGCAGGGTTTCTGGGTGATTAGTGGTGGTTCTATCCATCACAGGTGCTGTGATAGGTGATCAGTGATTTTTTGTGACCCTCTAATGGATCAAAGTCAAGAGAAAAAGGTGATGTTTGATTCTGTTCAATACTGTGAAGTGAAGATCTCATATGGTTCTGTGATTGGTGGGACCGACTTCCTAATGAAACTAAGACTGTGAAGTGATTTTCAATGACGTGAAAGATGGATGTGTGAACTGTAAATGTGATCAGGTTAGTGAAATTCAGTTGTGATTTCATTTTGTATGAAAATAGTGAAGTACGATGGAGGTGAAATCAAATATTATGGCCCCCACAACGCCACAACCTTTATGTTGACCACCATTAAGTTGAACAGTAATGGAAACTATGCTGTTTGGGCAAAATCAGTTGAAGTTTCCCTTACAGCTGTTGAGAAATTAAAGTACCTCACTGATAAATAATAATAAAAAAAAGGGACTGATAATTCCAAGTATTCGGAGTGGTTACAAGAAGATGCACAGATTAAAACATGGCTGTGGAACTCTGTGGAGACAAAAATCAGTAATGCTCTTATATTTCTTGATACTTCAAAGCAGATCTGGGAACAGGTCAAGAGGATGTACTCAGGGACTAATAATATTACTAGGATATATCAGTTATTTCAACCGTTCTTTAACTTACAGCAGGGAGATAATCTCTTGAAGATTACTACTCGGATATGGTGAGCATTTGTGAGGAGCTTAATATATACCATCCTATTACCAATGGTGTAACTGTTATGGAAAAGCAGAGAAAGGAATTGTATGTGGCTAAATTTCTTTCAGGAACTAAACCCGAATATGAATCAGTGAGAGCCCTGATATTGGGTGGTCCAGAGCTACTTGACATGGAGGGTGTATTTTCCCAATTACAGAGAGCCAAATTATCTGAACCCATCCAAACATCTGATCGAGCAGCACTGGTTGTATCTGGAAGTAATGGACGGGGTCATGGTACTTATGGAGAAGGTTATTGAAGTGGTGGTTGTGGTCCTCATGGATTTTCAGGTGGTAAAGGTGATAATGGTGTTCATGGTGGTCGTGGACGAGGCAGGAATGGTAATACTAGATTTTGTACCCATTGTGGGTTGGAAGGACATGCTGTTGGCTACTGTAGAGATCTGTATGGAGTTCGGTTTTGCTCACATTGTCATCGTGAGGGACATATTGTGGAGTATTGTTGTCTATTAAAGAAACCGGGAAGTTATGCCAACCAGGTCACCTATCCAAATGATGTATCATAGTCCCAACCACAGACAATTGCTACAAACAATCAGCTGGATGGGGAGACGATGACTATTTCTAAGGAAAAATATAATCAGTTGATTGCAGCCTCATCTTCCTCCATTGCTACTCTTGCCTGGGCATCAGGTATTGGCTCCACCTGTCTTCTCTCTACTACCTCGTCATCTCCATGGGTCATTGACTCAAGAGCTACTGATCACATGCCAGGTACTTCATCTACCTTTTCTCAATTAACTCCTTTGTCCTCTTTTGTCCAACATGTTACTCTTGCTAATGGGTATAAATCTCCAAGCATAGGACATGTGAACCTGTAGAGAAAACTGATGTGGGCCCCACAGCTGTGGTCCCCACCCTGTTCGTAGGACAGCATGTGCAACTATTATTAGGCATGTCAGTGTTAGTTGGTAGTCAGCTTGTTATTTCAGTGTGTTATTTATTTGTCTTTTATTTGTTTTTTCTTGCCATGTAAGTATTAAGGGCAGTCCTGTCCTTTCCCCTATGTACTGAACATAACCTATAAATATTAAGAGAGTGATGGCGGCAGATTGATTGAATCTGTTCCTCCTTTCAAACCTTTGTATACTTCTGGTTCTTCTCCTCTTTTTCCTCCTTCTCCTACTTTTTTTTTACCTTTCCTAAATCTGAAATCTGTTAGGATTCAAGGCTGATTGTAGTTTTGATCGACTACTTGGTATCAGAGCCAAGATTAGGGCTTCTCATGTGAGTTTGATCCAGCCGACCACATGAGAATCGCCTAGGGCTGGAAGAATAGAGAAAAGGCTCTCTTCAGCTAATTTTTGGAGGTTATCTACAGCAGCAGTCCAAAGACTGGATCGAATCTTTGATAACCAGGAAGAATCAGAGGAAGAGAAAAGGATCAAGATCAGTCTTTGATCAGTACTAAGGCAGCGATCAGGGAGAAGGTGTTTTTGGGAACAGCGGTCATGGTAGTACATCTGAGACTGGGTTTCAGATTACAACAGTGAGATTTGACAGGTCCAATTACTTGGAATGGGCCCAATCAGCCATGATGGCTATTGAGGGAAGGGGAAAACTTAGCTACCTCTTGGGAGATGTGAAAGAACCTTCCAAAGAGGATCCAATGTATACCAAGTGGGTTCAAGAGAACTACTTGGTTATGACATGGCTGTGCAACTCTATGCAGCCACATATCAGCCGAAATTACTTGTGGGCAAAGACAGCCAAGGAGATATGGGATGTCATGAAAGAGACCTATTCCCAACCCCTTAACGTTGCCAGAGCCTATGAACTGAAGTGTGAAGTGAATAATCTTAAACAATGAGAGAAACCAGTCT